CATTGTATGAGGGACCCTTTCAACCACAGAGTCTAATGTTATTGCTAATCCTAAATATTACTCACTATACATGTTATTAATATTAATCTACATTTCTTTATTAAAGATGCATTCTTGAAAATCAAATTCTGGTGAATCAAGTCATATTTCATGATCAAATGTTGTGATTCGGCTACTCCAAGGTCACATGTATTCAATCACTTGGAGAGGTAAAGAACATTTATTGGTGTGAATAACCATCTCACCTATCTTAAAAACCCAGATTGGACATTTTTGATTCTTTCTCAAGTAGCACATCTTTGAATTAATGAATAGAGATTTTGCACTTCTATGAAAGTATGTAATTATAAATGTTAAAGAAAAAAGATTTCTGGGGAGAGTACTGTGATCCAGTCCATGCAATACATAGCAATCATAAATAGGCAATAGATTCTCTTCTTATCTTTAAAGCCTCATTTCCAAGATGTCACTGCACTTGACCCATCACAGGATCAAAACACCATTGTCATTATAACTGAAGTACCACATCTGCAATCTCATACAATTATGTCTGAATTATTGTCAGCTGTCATTAATAGTCAATATAAACTAAAAAGTCTCTGAGAAGGTGCACAGTGCCCTTACACTAACCATGACAAAAATATCCTCTGTGTTCACAAAGAACCCAGCCTTCCATGGCTGGACATCACACATTGCTCTGTGACCCCTTGCTTCTGCTTATCTCTTCAGAACCCATTATCCACACCGTTCTAAGCATGCGCTGAACCATGAACTGAAAGCATGGATTCCCTTAGTCTCAGGTTTCCAAGTGGGTTCACCCACTTGGAATATCAGCAGATAAGAAGGAAGGAGAATAGCTAAAGATACTTATTTAATTGACTGCCCCAGCTGGGTGGCTTTGAGCTTCTACGTGCCTCAATCGAAGGCACCATTACTTGCCAAGTGGCCCTCTCCCCACAGTGCACAATCCCTGTCTCTCTCCACCTAATAGTGACCTTTCTCTGTGACTACAGAAGATGGGTTGAGAAATGAAATGGTGTTCTCTTTGAAAATGAAGGAAGAGACAGGAGCTGGAAAAGGCAAGGAAACAGATTATTCCCAAGAACCTCCAAAAGGAACATGACCATGCTAACAAACTGACTTTAATTCAATGAGACCTGTGTCACACTTACGACCTCCAGAACCATGGATAATAAATTTATGTTGTTTTAAGCCACTGTATTTGTGGTAATTTGTTATGGAAGTGATAGGAGACTAACACAAGACATATATGAATTAATTAACATTAAAAATGCATAGGAAATACTATGAATTAATTAAGTCTTAAGCTACTCATCTCTCCAGCCCATCTGGGACCCTTCCCCCAAAGAAATATTGAGGCTCACTACCCCCTAATCTTAAGTAGTATGTTTTTGGGAAACATCTATACCAGAGTAGTTCATCAAATTATATTTTTCAGAGTGTTTAACGTGGTACACAAAAGAGGAAAAACAAAGCCTCCATCTCAAAAGCTTCTTTTATTGGGAATAAAAACAGTTTGCTATACTGTAAAGAGATTGTGCTTTGGCACTAAACCAACTGAATCTCCACTTGCTTAGCTTTGGTTTTAGATGAGGTGCATAACCTGAGCTTATTGGGAAGTGATAAAATAATAATCATACACAAGGATACAAAATAGATAATAACAAACACACAAAATAATAATCATGATGTATGTAATGCTTTCAAGAAAATGAGCATTGGAACAATGCTAAGTTGTTCTTCCATTTTTTTTTTTTAGTGATATCTATTGAAAGTATGATATACCTGTGCCTCTAAGTAAATCTCATGTGCCAGTGATGCCAGTGATTGGTAAATTGAAGAGTAAATAGGAGGTATAGGCAGTTTATGGGAGATCCATGTAGTTTCCCAGTTATAAAAAAAAAAAAAAAAGGCACTACTATTACACAAAACAGAGATGCAGACCTGGACCCCAGCACCACAAAGCTTACTCATCCCTTATGTTTCTGGAAATGTCTCTGCTCCTGGTAACTCATCAGCCTCTGCATCTTGGATATGTTTTCTGTTTTAAAGTCATTAATAAACAAAGCAAAGAGCCTCATAGCAGAACTGGATCTACACCCTGTATCTCTCTCTGCAGAAGACAGGAAAGTAATCCTCCCTCATTCAGGGTAATGATTGCATTTACCCTTCAACTCTCCTGGATGCCACCAAAACTGCCCTGGGCAATTCACCTGCTTAGGATGCTAGACAAACAGGGAAAGGTGATTCTAACCAGGAGGAATGCTGAGATTTCATTTTCCATTAGGATAATGGAAACTATACCATTTTTTCTTTCCTAGAAAACATACGGATTATTCTAAAAACATAATCACTGGGTAGGTTCCCAAAAACAGAGAACATAATGCCTTCTTTCAAAAGTAACACCAACAGGCTTGACGAGACATCACCTGAACAAGGTATTCATTTCCACATACAGTAGCCCCCACTTATCCACAGTTTCACTTTGTTAGGTTTTAGTATCCACCATCACCATAGTCCCAAATACTACGTATAATGAGATGTTTTGAGAGAGATCACATTCGCATTACTTTTATTGTAGTATATTGTTATAATTGTTTTGGTATTATTACTTATTGTCATTAATATCTTACTTTTCCTGATTTATAACTTAAAGTTCATCATAGGTAGGTACATAGAGGGAAAAACAGTATATGTTGGGTTCAATAAGATCTGTGTTTCAGACACCCACTGGGGGTCCTGGAACCTACACCCCACTGGTAAGGAAAGGCTACTGTATCTGTTCCTGAGGATTCTCACAGAGCCCTAAACACAAGGTAAGCTCATTACTGTATCAAAAAAGTATTTGACAGCTCAAAAAATGTACGTTAGTATACAAAAAGCATTCTGCTTGAAAATGTGTGAGTCCAACTTTTAACAAATACGCCAGAACTTAAGCATTCTCAATAAATGGTATCTCCCTCAAAGCAGTATCTTTGAAAGCTACATAATTGTCCCATGACATTGCTGTTAGCAAAACATTTTTGTAACATCTTCTGAGAAGCTGCCTTGGAATTCAGGCATACCCTCCTGATCTGACCTTATTAGTTACAGATGCTGTTTCCTCAAGAGATAGATTTTATGTTGCAAAGAGTGCAAAGTCATTTGAAACCTGGTTTGATTATCTGTGTTAGTTATCAATGGAGATTGTGCATTTTGGATCAAAAACAAGATTTGAAGATAAAATCAGAAAACTGGGTTCTCTGGAAGCTCAAAAACTGGCCAACAAGACCCAAAGAGGAGATTTAAAGGGGCATAGAGCAATGATGTCACTGGACTAGGAATATTGAATTTCAAAGAGACTATTTTGAAAGGGGAAACCCTTCTTGATGTATGCCACACATCTGTTTGAAAGAGAAAGACTCATCGCTTTTGAGCAGCAAATCGTAAATATTTGGTCTCGGTACTGTGCTGTACATTTCAAGTTATAAGGACTGCAAAGAAATTTTGTTTACATGGGTTATAGCTATTGATGTTTACCATACTGGAAACTTAAAGCTGAGAAAAATGTTTGTTGATTCATCTTCAAATTATATTATTAATAATAATAAAACTAGTAGATGATAATATGAAAAACTTGTAAAATTTTGTAGAACAAAATAAAATTTAACAAGACTAATGGCATTATTTTAGATCTTTGAAAATCCTTTAGATATTTGGCTTAATTGAAAACTACCAGACTTGTATACCTGCTCCTAATTTACTCTGTTGTGTTATGTACCTCATATTCTGGAACACTCCACTGTATACTGTAGGAGAGAGTCTGAGAAAGAAATAATATCTCCATATTATAATGAAAATGTTCTCATCTGACATACACCTTAAAGGGTTAAAGGGTCTCTGGACCCCAGAGTTTCTCAGACTGGGAAAACACTCTTTTAGAGGCACACCTAGAGTGTGACAATAAACACAATTGTGTATGTGCATTTGTGTATGTGCATGTGTGTATGTGCATGTAAAAACTGAGAGCAAAAGCAAGTACAGAATAGCAGTTTGGAAGCTCCTTAACATCGCTCCAAGAAAAATAAATTTTAAAGTCTTCATGTTTCTAACTAAACTTTTTACTCTAATGGGGCTTTGTGCTAATTTGGCTCACCAACTCAGCTAAAATACCATTATCTCCTGTACTCTTTAGCCGCACTCTGTGCCCTGATTGTCCTTGTCTGCCAATTAACTGGGCTCTTTAGTCTGCTGCAAGCAAAATGAACCCGAAAAGCAGCTTAGCCATTCAGCAGCAGATCTCTCACTTAAAAAAATAATGTAGAATTGCTACAGTGAGAACATTCCAGGCTTTTCTTAAAGTCTATTTTTCCTGACAACTTACTATCAGCTTATTCTTTATTCCATACACACAGATTGTTGTTTTTGCAAACTGATCATGATATTACTCAGTTAACACATTAACCACCACAAAAGACCTGAACCTTCCCTCTACAAACATGGGTGGGGGTGGGGGGTAGTGTTGCATTCAGCCTCTGAAACCCCAAAAGATGCAGACATACTTTCCCAATAAGGCAGTTCTCAAATGTTCCAACTAACATTATCAGAAAGATTTTGACAATGAATATGCCATAGACCAAACATTTGAGAAGAATATTATAGTTTACGAAAACCTTCATCCCAGCAGACATAAATTGAATTCTCCCCACCTTCCGGACACTGATCTGGGTATTTGCATCTTACTAGAAAGAGTGTTCATTGAGGAATCCAGCTGAGAACTGACTCCCAGTCTGCACCCACCTAGCTGTGTGTCCCCGGACAAATCAACTAACCTCTCCAATCCCGAGTCCCTATGTAGGTAAAATGGAAGGCATAAAAACAAATGAACTCTAATGACCTTTCCATTCTTAATTTCTATGAGCACATAAATTTCTATGAGAACATGTACATAAGCAGAAAAAGACATATGTACATGTATGAGGAAAGAAAACTGTGGGGCACGTTTCTCTCATAATGGGGGATAAGGTCCAGCATTCTTTTAAACAGTGTAGGTGCTCACCCATGGACAGATAATGGAGACACCATCCAGCATAGCTTCATGTCTCAGAGTTGGGGTTCACTGAGCATCCCCTGAGCACTTCCAGCAAATATGGTTTCGTTCCAGGGACTCTGCCCTTTGCTGTTCCATGTCTCATTATTCCCAGTGCTCCAGACGGAATACACAAAGCCCCCATGAAGCTGAGCATATGGCCTGGCTCAAGAACTGCTCTCCTGCACAGAGAAATAGGACATGTCGCAGAGACAGAAACACCTGGTCGTAACCAGGATTCTCAATGGAATTATCCTTATCCTTGAAACATGTGAGCACAGCTAATGTTAAGCCTTCAGCTAAACATGAAAATGTAGTAGCCTAGACCATGTTCCACTGAATGACACTCCCTCCTCCCTCGGCTCTGCCACATGCTCACATGAAATATCAAATTGCTTGCAGCTCATATTGAATAATGAATATGCCCGCCTCAGCCTATCACCAAGGCCCTCAGCAGTATGCCTGGGGAACTGGAAGAGATGTTAGAGGTTTGCAGGCCAAGCACAAAATTGAAGACAAGCTTGAATTAATAATTTGCTTATTCCTATACACGTGCTTCAAAATAAAGTGCAAATTGAATAAGGTAATAACAGAGCTTGGGAGGAGAAAAAAAAGCCTTCCTTTTGCAAACTGCTGACACTTCAATTTCATTATCTCTCACCACCCTGAATGTTATTTGCAAATGTGCTCTCCCTATGTCATCATGTGGAAATGTCTTTAGGAAGAGCCAAAAATGAAGGGAAAATCATCCCGTGGAGCTTTAGAGGGGAAAAAAAATTAAAGCTCTCATTTTCAGCTGATTTTTTTAGAGCACATTTTCTTAAAATGGTGCTCGGTGGACCTCTGCACCTGGACATTCCTTGGAAATCCCGGGGAAGTTTCATATGTGGTCTGTTCCATCTTACTTCAGCTTTTTCCTACCTTGACACAAAAATCTCCATCATGTTCTTGCCAATCACAGTTGCATACAGGCCTCAGGAGCCTCGTTTGCATGTTTTCTGATCTGTCATTTCCAAGCACATTTGTTGGTGCCTAAAATATGGAGATACATTTCACCCTTGTGTTTTTAATCACTGTCACCCTTATATCATATTCAGGCACTTGTGGAGGAATAGATACAATATATGTCAGAATCCAGACTCAACATCTTACCCTACCTATTTATTTCATCAGGGACTTTTTATGTGATCTAGGGGCCCAGGGGGTGGTGGTGGGAGACAAAATAGGTAAAAAGAAGTATGAAGATGGATACACACACACAAATTTTTTTTTTTACTCAAATAATGCAAGAGCCATACCCCAAACAAACCTTGAAGGATGAACAAGACTTCCCTTGGTTCCCAGTTCCCTTGGATTGGAGTTCTCTGTGAACACGGAGGGGCAGCTCTGAGGAACCCTCTCTCCTGTGGCTGGTGGATAGTGCCAGATGAAGATTACTGGGTGTAAGATCAGAAAATTGGCCCCTTTCCCATGCTTTTCCTCAGTAAAAACACTCCTTCCCCTTCCCTCCCCTCCCAAACCCCACCTGCTCACTCCTACTGCCACTTCTCTGCAAGTCTTCCTGATTCCTTAAGATTGGATTAGGCTTCCTTAATGGATAGTCCCATAGCAATTACCACCTTGGATTAAAACTGCCTAATAACTTATTTATAATTTCACTAAAATATAAGCTCCTGAAACAGGAGCTCCAAATTGTTGGGTTTTGCATTCTCAATACTCAGTCCACTGCCTGGCAGAGGAACAAACTATAGGTTGAATGAAAGAATGAATGAGCACATTTAGACCAGACTGAATTGTTCAACAGAGGAAGTAAGGGGAGGCAAGCAGAGGAAATGAAAATTACAAATCTAGAGATTAGCAATGGGATATGATATTTCCCACATCCAGGTTACTGGCTTGCATTCAAATTTGGTAAGCAACTTGTAAAAACTGATATCAACAAATGCCATTTGGTAATGGGTATTAATATAATTTCCAGAGGCTAGTATCCAAAGCCAATAGATATGGAAAATCACTAGAGTTCATTTTAGTTGTCCAAATTGGAGCTTCTGGGTTAGGGAACAAGTAAAGATTTGGGGGGAAAATGGAGCACCTGGAGAGGACATGGAAGTGCCACCCTTTCCCTGCATACCTAGTCCTATGCAGCTGTTCCATTTGACTATTGATCTATATCTTTCAGTATCCTTTGTAATAAAATGGTGAACTACTAATAAATAAGCAAACAATCCTCCAATATATAAAAGATTGGTTGGATATTGGAGGCTAACAATTATCTTTCCTGTAGAGGCAGACTAAGTACCTCCTGGTGATTACCATCCAAGAAAATCCAAACCAAATAATGTCCCTTAGGATGTTCATTTTGCATTGTCTTTTATCTTTCATTAAGAGACGAAGATAAAGAAGATTGCCTAGTGTGGTCAACGATGACCACCTACTTCCCTTGCAGGGCTGACCTTATATCTAAAACATAGAAACTGATAGAGATGAAATTGTGTAACATAATCTTAGAGAGATTTCAAGAAGTAGAAGGAAAAAAAAATTATCAAAAGTCCTTATGGGGCCTCCCCGGTGGCACAGCGGTTGAGCGCTGGGTTGCGAAGCTACCTGCAGCCTCTGCAGCGCCGGTTCAATCCCTGGTTGCTCCCCGGCCACTGGAGGAGGGTCCCACATGGACCTCTCCTGCTGCCCGCTGCTCCCCTCAGCAGTGTACTTCATCACTCTACCTGTTCTGCTCTCCACTCTCCGCTCTGGCTCTGGTGAATTCTCTCACCCTCCCCTGCTCTTGACTATACCCAGAGCTTGTATGTATGCATTAATTAATCAATTAATTAATTCATTAAATCTTTAAAAAAAGGTCCTTATGGATCATGGTACCTTATAAGCTCATCCACAGTCAATGTCAAGTTCCCAGAGGAGCAAGTAAAGAGAAATCAACAAAAACATCACTTGGCCTCTCACACCCCCATGTATAAAGCCAGACTCTTACTCCTCCCTTTCAAAATATACTTTTCCTCCAGTGTTCATTGTCTTATGGCATGTTCACTCACTGTTATCCAAACTGGAAACTTGAGATTCACTCTTTCTTCATTACTGATTTGTCCTTTTCAAAATTCCTCCATCTAATCAACCACCAAGAACTACTTATTCTACCTTCAAACTCTCTTTTTTCCATTGCCAGTACCTTATTCCATTGTTGTGTATTGCCTACATTTTATATTACTCAGGTTAAGTAATGCTTACTATGTTAACAAACAAACTCAAAATTTAGGTGATTGAATACAATAAAAATGTATTTCTCCAGCTAGCAGAGTTCACTAAGTTGGTGCTGGGGCTCCTATTTCAAACAGTCGTCTAAGGAGTCAGGTCCTTTCTATCTGGTAACTCCACCATCTGCTAAGGCTCTTGAGTTCTCGGCTGGGGCCACTGTTTTTGGCCAGAAGATGAGAGAAGAGTGAGCATGAAAGGTTGCCAAGCATGGAAGTGGCAAATATCACATCCATTCTCATTCCATTGGCCAGCGCTAGTCATCGGGCATCACCAAATTGTGAAAGAGCAAAAAATAATCTAACTCAGGGTCAGGAAGTAAAAAGCAACATAGTTATTGGTTCTAAATAGGATTTTCTGCTCACAGATCTCCGAACATCTGCTTTTGTTCTAACCACTTCCTCACAGATTGGGGGTTAGGGGGAGGTGGAAATCTGATCACACTTAGAACCCTTCAATGGCCACTATTGCTTTTAGGATAAACATCAAAATCCTTTTCATAGAGTATCACTTCGGGTTTGATCAGACAAAAAGAACCATCGTGATAAAGAAAGGGGCGTACTCATGGGGTAGACCTTACACAATCATGGGAACTGATGGAGCAGTCTTTGTTGCTTATTGCCTGTGCATCTAGTTCTGAGCCTGAAGTTATCATAAGTCAGCCAGACTGATAGCTGGAAGACCAATTATAGGTGGAAGAACAAGACAAAGTGGAATCCATGAGGATGCACTGAGACCCATAAGGACAAGTGGAAGTTGTGAGGACAAATGAGAACCCATGTCTGTCTCTAACCACCTCCAATCTCAGCCTTAGGTCATGTTACTGAACACACGCTTGGCCCAGCACTTATAGAAGCTGAAGGAAGAGATATGGAGGGAGCTGGAGGATTTGGAGATCCAAGGAGGTGCCCATACCAGTGAGGTAAGCTAGCAAATCTAAGACAAGATGCCACAGCACATGGAGCCCTGCACCAACCTTCAGAGCATGAGAAATATGGCTGAAGCTTTACTTATGCCATCCAGATCTCCTGAAAAATGTCTCTGGTGGCCTACACTAGCCAGAACCATATGAAGAAGGACATTCTGGAGACATGGTACAGCTTAGCTAAGTGGACATAGTCCAAAGCCCTTCAGACCTGGCATGATCTGGCCCCTGCCTACTTGTCCATCCTCATCTGAGTGATCTCTTCCCTTTTCTATTCTTTAAAGGTCACTCCCCTAGAAAGATTCCCCAATATCTTTAAAATTCTCAGTGCATGTTTAATTATTTAATTGAAGTCTAGCTTTAACACTGGACTATACACTCCAAGAGCCAAGGACTGTGTATACAGTGTGAACTCTTTCCCCTCCCTGAGCATGGTACCTAGTACACTGAACACACTCAATAAAGACCTAATGAAAGCAGTCAATTGGTCTATCAAAGAACTCCTTCTTAGATAGGATTCCAATTAAGCATACAGGATTGATACTTATCTAGCTTTATTTTCAAAGACTTTCTCAAGTAGGAAACAGCTACTTAAATGAGAATTCATTCGAAAGTCTGACATTCATTTTCATTGCACTTCACCTAAATCTTTAATGCCTTTAAAACTACCCAATGAAGTTCCTATTTAAGAGATATAGGCCACTAAATTATTATATATGAGCACCAAGGAAGATAAGAAATTCTCTCTTTGGGAGATTTATTAGAAATAGTACACAGCTAACATTTCTACATTATATTAGAACCACCTGCCCAAAAGCAGGGAGATGGCTTCTATGACCCTTTAGGGAAATTCCCGTTCAATGAGCCTATCAAAGTTATTTTACTAGCACAGTCATGTAAGATTAATCATCTTTGTGAATTCTTAATTGCTGTGGTCAGACAACCCCCAGAGAGTAATCATACACCATGGCAGAATTCACATTTCTTTTTCATTCTTCCATGATGAAGGAGAAAGCAGGTAGAAGCAGTGGTTTGCTACCATTTGCTCATTAATTCATTCAAGGATAATTACGAGTGTTTCCTGCAGGGTAAGTGATAGGGATACAAAGATGTCTAAAGATATCCAAAGTCTAGTGGGAGAAAGGAAAATATTTTTTTAGAGGTATTCAAAGACAAGCAACTGCTATTTAAATAAAAAACTAAATAGGTGAATAAAATATCAGATAGTGCTTAGTAAATATTAGCTAAATGTCAGGCACTGATGTAAGTAAGCACATTACATAAATCAATACATTTATTTCCCATAAAAATTCTATGAAGTAGAATTTTCCTTTGCCACAGATGAGAAAACCAAGCAACAGAGAGGCTAAGTAACTTGCCCAAGGTCACACAGCAGTCCTCCATAGCCCCCTTTTTACCACAGCACTACCTTGCCTCAACCAATGTATTTCCCTGTTCCTTTCCATGATCTCTCCATGATTATTTGGCCAAATGGTTATAATTAAAGTTATGAGAGGTTCAATAATTATTTGGAAAAAAATACCTATTAACATTATAACTAAAAAGGCATTTTAAATCTATGGAGGGAACATGTTTGTAAACTCTTTCATTTGTGAATATAAATATCTGCATTATCTCAGAAGATGAATACAAATTATTCCCCAGAAGGAAATCCAGTCTTTGAGCATGTCCCATCTTTGTCTACATCTGTGTTTCTCCATTTTCATAGGCTGAACAATGGAATCTTCCACTACCCATTACACAAGTCACCACATTTTACACAAAAAAAGAACCAAAGCAGTGTCCAACAACTACACACTGAAACAATTGCTACTCTTCTCCCTCGATCTGGGGATCTTCTCAGACATATCTGCTGAAAAATGGGCTGGTCTGGACTTAATCCTAGGGGGAAGAGGGAACTGAGGGCATATAACAAATGCACTTCTTCTTATTCTACCAGGAGATACAGAGATCTGAAGATCTTACTTTTCAAAATGAATTGGATCAGGATCAGCAGCAGAATGCTGATACTATTGCAGAATCTAGTCCAGCTCCAGTTGGTCCACACTGGGTGCTATGGAAGCTCACCAGAGCAGTGGGAAAGGCTTCGTGGAAGGTGCTGGATTTAAAGAAAATGACATGTCAAAACTGTTGAGCAATGCAGGAAGTTCCCTATGACGGGAGGATAGAGCAGTGAGAGCAGCAAGTAGAACAG